CATAATGATGTAAAACCCTTATCACGTCTCGAGAAGGAGAGTAAATATTCTAGTAAGCTCTTACCTACTGGAGATCTGCCTAAACCAAGAAATAGTTATGAGATGTCAATTGAGTTTCAAGTATAAAGACGTGATGGACAATACGTTGGCATGAAGAGAAAGTCATTTACAGTATAAATATTAGTATTATTTATTTATTCGATTATCGTATAAACAAGTTTTAATCAAATTCGAACACGTTATTATTATCCTGTGTCTAATACAATAAATATTACGCAAATTATTGTCATTTATTATTCTAGTCATCGACTGAAGAGAGAACAAGTTATCAATAGTGTACTTTAACATGAGGAAAGGTCGATATAATAGATACGCGTTTCACTTTTTAGTCGATTATATCCGTGGGACGATGGTTATTATTATATTCGAAGATTTATGTAGTGAGCCTAAAAAAATATATCCCTTACTTTACTGAAGGACGTCAGTTCAATCTACGTAACGCAAAGGTTTGTGCAGTTCATTGTAATTGACTTGACTGGGTTGGGACCAATCAGATTCCAAGAATTCGTATGCCGATTATTCTAGAATCGATTTCCGTCACATAAATACACACATACACAACCTCTTATAAGCACACTTCCAACAAAAGTTGCATTGTTCCCGACTATAGAGGACGACTGTAAGTGAGGCTTTTCTTATGACTGCTGTATGTTTAATACGTCCTATAAACGAAAAGCATAATGAATGTCATATACTCGTGGTCTTTATTAGGCGCTGTTATATACCAATGACTATTATTATACTACAATAGGAACGGAGGGTGGCTAAACTCGTTATTTATTTTTCATTGTTGAATTTAAAGATAATTCAATACTAACGATCATTATGGATATCAATGATGTCAGGTACGCTCCTATCACACCATTAATCACCAACTGTTGTCGTATTTAAACGAATTAGATGCGAATTTCTCTCAAAACTCTATCCCCTCTCAAAACTCAAATCTCTTCCTCCCTCTCAAAACTCTTAACAAATGGCTTTCAGAAACAATGCGCGCCGCTTTTTCTCAACGGCGGTAAACGGTAGCCTTTCGCAATCGCCAAAACCAAGCGGTGGCAATCGTGAGTAATGTACTGTGTCTCTTTCTAGTATTGTAGAATACTTAAACAAGCAATATTACATTTCAGAATTATTCACTTTCTGGAACGGGTATGGCAAACCCGTGGGGGGGATTATATCAGCGTTGGGGGGTGTTCGGCCTGGCCGCCAACCATACGATAGACAAACGTATACGTAAATCTGAACTCTTCACAGTACTACCAACTACGTTATATCGGTATGTTATAAACCAGTGTAAATAAATTGTATACGTTTTCTGTATGCTTACACTTGTCTTTCTACGCACAACGCTCAGAAATATAGGAAATTCGGCTATTATGAATTGACAAGACAAGGTATATATTATCTGCATTGCATTTCCTCATTATGTATCCCACCCTCTATGGGACGATTGATATTCTAATTTTATTGTAGTTTTTTTATTCTCTATCAGGCGGACCGTCCACAGTCCGTGAGGCCAAACTTATAATTCGGAGAAATATTGGAGGACAATGTGTTAATAAATGTTGGTAATTGATGATGGTGATATCGCGGCACAACAGTAATCGTTGCCACCGCGTGACGCATAAAACCCGCGATGATGGTGATATTGATGATAGCATTGATAATGCCAATGATGCTGCAAGCAACAAGTCTCTAAAACATGTGAGAGTGCTTAAATGTTATATTAGTTTAAAGTCAATGAGTGTAATGAAATTTTCAAAAACCGTATGAATACACGTACACAGTATAGAGTCTAGTCACAATAACCTGTCATGATCAAAAAATAAATAAATAAATAAATAAGATGTAAAATTGGTGTTCTGTATTGCTTGTGGTTAAATAATGACAAATGAAAATTCAGCTACGAAATGCGCTCCATCCAATGTTTTATTGTTGATGGTTCTTTCTAAGAGTCGCCCGTTTCAAATTAACAACTCCGTTATCATTTACGATTCCATCTTTATGGAGCTAATTTTCCGGGCTAGAGAATCTCAGCAAGAAAACCCATCTAAAAAATAAATCAATGATAGATTTATTTCCTTGTTAATAACGTTAGACTTCTGATCAATGCAAGGGATAACAAAATGATGGCAAGAATGCAAATTATCGTCAACTATGGGCAAAACGCTAGATAACGAATGTCCTACTATCCCAAAACCAAATGTGTCGGCTAATTATGTCAACAGAAGATCTTGTGAATTGATACTTGAGCTTAAAATAATACCAGGTTTAAAATGAGTTGTTGCGATTGTTCTGGCTTGATGTAATTCAACAGCTTTATATCGTACAAACTCTACATGTATATTACGGGGATGTGTGGTTGTATAGAATGTTCTCATAGCAAAGAGCAACGGTGGGTTTTAACTTACTTTTGTTATTTAAATATTATTGCGACCAGGAATCGCTATTATTTCAAAGTTTAGCAAGTGATGTTGCGGGATTGACAAGATACCCCACTCTCGGGAACCAAATAACCACATCGATCCCTGTTTCCGATACTCCATCTGGTCGAATTGCTACATGAAACGGTCCCAAACTGACAATCTTTCCTTGAACGGGGATTTTCCCATAGTCGTCCGGCATAATTCTGACGTGGTCCCCAATCTTCCTTCTGTTTGGGTCATTGGTATCTTCGGTTGCTGGGTGAGACATAGGCTTATGTTTCTTGGCAATTTCAAGCGCTTGTTCCCCAGTCATTTTGATAGGCTTCTTGCCATTAGTCTTTGCATAGGTATTCAATCGCGCAAACCACGCATAAATATTTGGATACAAATCTTTTCTCGCTACTTCTGGTGCACCTTTGGTATTTCTGAGAAACCAGATATTGGTACCAACATGAATATCAGCAATGCTCGGGTATGGAGTATCAAAGATCCATTCTCTGCCATCCGACAGTTGCAGTTCAATCCACTCGAAATTAGTACGCAGTTTATCAAGCATCATTGGTCTCGCTGCTGCTATTCGTTCAAGATCAAAAGATTTGACACCCATTAGAGCAGCGCGGTCCTGCAGCAATGCCTTTTGAGAATATATTTTTGGTGCATCTGGAGGATCTTTTGGGCCGCCAAAAGGCATAAGAGCAGCCGTAGCTGACCAGAAATAACGCTATTTGTGAGATGCAGAGAAAGATGATTGAGTCCAATGATAGCACATACGATAATTCCATCTTTAATGCATTACCAAAGAAACCAACGTACATCAGTCCACATACTTAGGGCCTGTGCCAGTCCTCTGTCAGCCTTGTCTGATCCTTTGCGTTTTGGAAACAAGGATGGTTCTGGAAATCTAAATAGTACAAACGTATTGAAAGATGCCCTAGAGTTTGCATTTAATGTTCAATGAATTACCTCTTTTCTAGCTCCTGTAGTATCAACGCCGTATCAACAAAGATGTCTGATCCTATCTGAAGAACCGGGATACGGCGATATCCATGTGTTAATGGCTGGAGCAACCTTTAATTGCGATATGAACGAACGTAAAATAAAACTACGGGGGATAAACGTTGACGTGCTATGCAAAACTGTATTATGCCTACGGTCTTGGAAGAATTGGAGGAACTTCAACAGAAACCCAGTCTAACTTCTTTATGGCCAAGGCCCACAGTATTTTCTGTGAGTATACCGAACCTGGAGAACCATTGTCAGTGTGTTTCTATTGTTTCGAATAATGTCTGTGAATAGTCGAACACATACCAGCATAATGATGCAAAATTATAGGTGGTTGAAATGCCATTAGTTGATTTTTTATGAAAAAAGCGTAATAGTAATGGGTACAATGTGAGATTTTCGTTTTACCGTACTAAATTTCGCACTAAGCCGAATTCATATATATATTTGCAACTTACAATTCAACAGTATAAACTTATTCATTATGGTAAAACGAAAGAATACTTGTTTGCTGTAACGTATTCTGATGTTTAGTCTTAATTATTCTCTTTAACTTTTTTAAGTTGGATAAGAAAGTAATAACTCGTTGTCACACAGTCCTACGCGCTTAGAATTAACAAGCGGTGAATTTTTATCTAAGGCTAACCAAATTTCTTTTTCTGCAAGAATATCATGGGTTTTATTCCAACGTCAAATTAGGATGTTCTTGCAAAGAGCTTTTTTTTCGAGTCTTACGTTTTATTTTTTTCTCTGGTGCTTTATTTTTTGAATTGCTTATTATGGACACAATATTTGAAGAACCACTCGTTGAACTTTCTCCACGATCGTTCATTCTGAAGGATTAAGTTATTTGTAACAAGCACCTACGTGTTTAAACGAAAAGATTTTTCCATAAAGAATACCTGGCGCGCTAATACTAATACGTAATGGCCGTAATAAACAATCGAAACGAACCAACCAATACACAAACTTCGGTATATCGAGATAAAATTATTATTGTCGGTTGTTCGACTTACCCTTTATTAATAAAGTTCGGCTTACGCTATAATAAAAATTTGGTAAACCAGAAAAACTTCGGCTTAACGAGTTTGACTTGTACTTGTAATACAGACTCTATCAATAATTATTCGTTCAAGCATAATATAACGCTCAGACAGACAGTGTCTAATACTCTGCGCACCATTCTAAAACCTATATATATTACTCATTCATCATAATATATAAGATATGAAATTTAAGACACAACATTGAAACGCAATGTTATTTCTCCAATAAGAGTTCGCTGGTGGCGTTCAACTTGAAAACAAGTATATATACGTTAAAGAAACTTTATTTATATTTCCTCAAAAAACCCGTCACCTCTGCAAAAAGTCTATCTTTCTCATCCTGTAATCGTCTGTCTCTCAATTGTCTCTCTAACATCTCTACCCTCTCTCTCTTCTCCTGCAACTGTCTCAACAACATCTCCAACTGTTCTCTCTGTTGCCTTTCCACCTGGCGCTGGTGGCTGTAGGTGATTACTGCATCAACCACATTAGTCTCATCACAAAGGATGATTGGATCATCTGTGGCTGATGCAAACTCCCTAGCATCTTCTGTGAAGGGGTCGGGGTCCTGGTCCCCTGTGGACCTAGCCTTCGCCACCAGCACCATCACCGTCCCCCATGCTTCGTTTTCAGCCATGCCAGCTACTTCTCGAACGGTGGCAACATCTATTATAAAAAATAAAACAGTATGTCAATGTCGAGGTTATTGTTATTCCTAGTCAAATGAGATTTTTATTTAATATTAATAATATTTTTGATTCGAATATGTTATTATTATTATAATTAATTTTCTTTTTTTATTTTTATTTTTATTTTTATTTTTATTTTTATTTTTATTTTTATTTTTATTTTTATATTGCTTCAAGTTCCATTTAATAAATAAGAATATTATATTACCAATTTTCCCCGTACGATTCTCGCACCGAAATAAATACGGGGTTCTGTCGATGGTGGCTGTGATATCGATACCACCATCAACATCATCATCGTCCAAGCTAATAACACAAAAAATGAGTATTGTGTCATAATAGCCAAGATCAGAAACGAATGTCTCAATGATCGATATATCCTATTCACTACAGCCGACGGCTTTCGGTAACAAAGAAGAACGCTATTCAGACACCATGTAACAAGGACCCTAAAGTGTTTCATACGTATCCTATTCACCACAGCCGGAGTAGGAGAAATTACCATCTCGACAGCATTGTCAGTAACGGAGAGTCGATATATTTGCACCCTATGGTGCTTACCAAAACTCCGATTTACACCTAGTGGCAGCGTACCTTCAGACACATACACAATATGGTCAACCTGAACACAGTAACTTGCAAACTGTCACTTTTAATTCTTTGATTTACACCTAGTGGCAGCGTACCTTTGGATATAATAACCATTCTACAAATACTCATACCTCCACCTTATATATACGCAGATGCCGTGCTGTGCGAGGATTTCAAGCACGGCCTCCTCGAACTCGGTACCGGTCACTTCATCCGCGAGCGTGTTCTTTCTTTTCTTTCGTTCTTTCGGGGTCGGCCCATTTTTTAGATATTATTATCATGCTTCACAGAGTTTATATTATATTTACAAAGTCACGTTGGTGGATACTGGAACAGGTAATTTTGATGATCTATGTGAATTCTGCGAGATAGTAGTAGCACAGTAGACTTGATATTCCCATGGAAATCATCTAGAAAAACGGGATCGTTGATTTTAATATTTTCTCCCGCGTCATTCCATCCTATCACAAGCATCTTTGTGAAACCAAATGAATTGCTCTTGTCGCTATGCTAGTAAAGAATACTAATTCTTATAATCTGTAATGTTAGATAACAGTCAAATGCACCCTATCAAATAAATAAACGACTTGCATTTCACTGTATAACCATCTTAATATTCAACTTTTTCAATGTATCAACAGAGAAAAGGCGAAGGTAGAAAAAGTATTTGAGGGGCTTAGGCTGCAGGGGCATATTAAATTTGATCGACATGTGAATGACGTCCATATATCACTTGTCACATAATGTAGTCCCTAAAGTCGAGACGTAGAAATGAATAGTTGTGAACGTGACGTTCACCATCGCAAAATTTAACATCGTAGAGAAGGATAATAATAATGTCAGTACAATTAATACTTTGAGTTTTCGTCCTTATTATTACGTAAATAGGTTCTATTTGCCACTACAAAATGTGATTTTAACGAGTGTAAGCACAGCCACGTTTCTATGAATTCCCATTGCCGATCATTCACATACACCAATTTCTAGATAAGGTTATGTATAATAATAATAATGTTATTCGAAACCATGATTACATAATAATATACTAACAAAAATTGAGTATAGAAATAATTGCAGTTTACCATTAAACGTCATATGGTGCAACAAACCAGACAAAGTGAACATTTTATTATGTGACATGAGAGGCTGATTAAGTGGAAATAACATAATTATGTTATTTCCACTTAGTCTAGGTTATTCCCACTCAGGTATGTGTCGTGACGACAGAAATGCGACACCATCGTCAGTGTCGTGATATATATTTTATGACACATTTTCGACGACAGAAATGTGATACCGTCGTCAGTGTTTTTGGTTAATTTCAAACCTAAGATATTCCCCGAGTTAGGATATGCTACCTAGATGTGCCCCTTCTATATTGAGTTCTAATTCCTTTAGAAACCTAAATTCGATAATGTTATTGTATGCCAGTTTGACGATCGTGGCTAATTTCTGTCGTTGGGCAGGTTGGTGTGGTTGTTTTCCGTCATCAGATTACATATGATACATTGTATATTAATTTGGTGAAGATGCCTTCCGATTTAGGTTATGATACACCCACGCAACTACTCTGTATAATGTTTTGAAGTTTTTAGATTTTTAAATTCGATAATGATATTTGTATGCCATTAATTGCGTGCATGGCAGTTTCATAAAGTTGGCCATATGGAAGCATGACTGATTTCATGAATTTGATGATACAGTATGATCACATTTTACACGTCATTGAGAAGGCAAATAGCAAGAATATATGCTATTGGGTATGATATATACATGTTGTCGGCTATACTATATACATTGCTGTATACGCGTTATCGGATTATGCTATCAAATATGCATCGCGTAATTGCTATCGGGCACATGCTATCGGGCACATGATATCGGATATATTGCAAATACATTATCTGGATATGCTATCGAATATGTATGCAACCTATGTCACGTAAATGCTATCGATAATGCTATCAGGCATATGCTATCAGGCTATGCTATCAAAAAATGTTATCGGGTCATGTTATCAATTTACTTTGCCCATAGTTAACCCTAGAAAATCCGTCCTAGTCACGTCCTAGTTGCGATGTATATTTCATAATGTTATTGGAAAATGCTACCAAATCGACTTCGCCTATGTTTAAGACACGTTATATTAAAGTATGCCGATTTCGATTGCCGGACTTTTTGTCACAAGTTAGCATTATAATTAGACATATGTTCCGTGAATATACCATGAAAATGGGTAGTAAAAAAATGGTTAACTTCGACTAAATATATAAAAAGGCGGGTATATAACCCCTATAATCTCTACTATGTAGAGTTACCGAAGTTACACACCCCGAAAATATATCCGGAATATATACCCAGAAACATGTTGTCAAATGGGTAGCCTTCTTCATTTTTTCTTATATAATATTACCGAAGTTAGCTACTCCGAAAACATACCATCAGATGGGTATATAACTTCATTTTTTCTTATATAATATTACTGAACTTATATACTCCAAGCATATACCCGAAAACATACCATCAACTGGGTATATAACTTCATTTTTTCTTATATAATATTACTGATTACTCGAAGACATACCGTTAAAGTGGGTATATATCTACCCTGAAAAAAGTGTAGTGTTCTGCTATTTTATATATATATATATATATTACGCAAATTACTACAATACTATACATTGATCACATACCCGAAATATATCATCAAAAAATGTAGTGTTTTTCCATATATTATATATATTATTTCTGAAGATTACTACACTTGGACCTCATTATTACTTTTCAAAACATCATCAGTCACACTGGTTAATTTTACAGCCACATCATAATCAGCCTCTCATTTATGTCACATAATAAAATGTTCACTTTGTCTGGTTTTGTTGCAGCATGCCCATATGGCAAAAGATTTTTATTAGAATGCGATTTTCACAAACACAAACTCACAGTAATATACAGTCACATCAATTTGGCATGGTCATTAGGAGCCCATCTTTTGTGATGTCAAAAGTATTTTCTTTTTGCTGTAGCTCTTAATTATGCGTTATAATTATAATGTAATTCTTAATGGGTCAAGGGGCTGCTAAATTAATACTTGAGTGCACATTGAATTTAATAAGTCAGTTTATTTGATACTAATGCTGTACCAATACAAGGCAAGGATGTTTGATAGTAGTGACATGCTAAATAGAATACAGCAGAGTATCGTATAATGAGAATGATAATAATATTGGAATCAATTTCTATGCCGCTGTTGTTATCGACACTTCACATCGCATGATTTAGACAAAATTTCGGTCATAAATCGTATTTTTAATTTCGGCCTTAACAATTTCGCCGTGCGTACAGTTTGGTCTATTTTTAAATTAGGCTCTAAAAAAAACAATGCACATTTGTGAGTAAGTCGTACAGATTATAATTATAAGCAACATCGACACTTACGGCAGCGTCTAATAATCGTGTTTTTTATAAATTAACCTGAGTATGAGGCTTAAGCCGTCTCAATTCAAAACAAAATTACAATACTCTGTGTTATATTTAAAAATCTTTGATTAAATTCTCATTACTATTGATATTAATATCGAGATAAAATAATTTATTTATTTGCTTTTGTACACTGTTTGATTGTTTATTTTCTACAAGACTCCAAAAAGTGCTTTCTGGTAAAGAAGAAACATTTGTAAGACATACTAATACATATTTGGACAAAAAAAAATGCGCGTACAATAGTGTTGTTATTATGTATTATTATTTACCTATTACTATCATTATTTCTGAAAACAGCACCACTATGGGAAGTTATTGTCCGGACGAGTTAATGCTAAGTTTATTTTGGGACTATCACAGTGTAAGATAGTTCGGCCGGGATCGGCCAGAGTGAAGCAGCACAAATTCTATTGTTAACAATATTTTCGAAATTTACGAGGTTTACTTTAATCGTGGGAAGTTCGCCCAGTAGCATGAATTTAGATATTGGCCGACGCAACTTAAATTCATTAAAAATATGTTAACATTAATATGAACGTAATTCAAAATAATAATAAGCGTGTTCGTTATAAATTGGCCGATTTGATTGTGACATTAAAATAATTGTGAAAACTATTTCTGAAGACAGAACACTTAGTAAATAGTGTTACGGTCGAGAATGAAATGGGGGTTTTGGGAGAGCGATTTATCTTTTCGCGTAGGCATGTTCGCCGACCGGGGGATGTTACCAGACTTAGCTCGTACTATCGCCCTTACTACGATAGTTGTACAATTAAGACTGAATTAAACCTCAAGTGACCTATTTTAACTATGCGCGCTTTTCACTCCCTATCCGAGTTTCAAACACTCGTGAATACAAATAAGGGTACCTTCAATAGAACAATAACAACAATTATTCTATTAAAGAATCGAAGGAGAATAATATTAAACAGGCTATCTTCGATTTGTTTATCGACTAGTCGGTTTTTGTCACTTGTCTCTACTAACCAATTAAACAATAATCGTCTCGATAATTAATTATGAACTCTCGTTCCGTTATTCACGTGATTGATCCACGGACAGCTTACTAGCTTGATCAAATCCGTTACAGCTTAAGTGAGCTGTTTATTGGAGTGTCCGGCCTAATAATCAATTACTTTGACAATAGAAATTAAATGTATATTTATAATAAAGGATTTTGGGAGAATACTACTAAGATCAGTAGTATTATTTTATTTCACAACATGGACAACATGATCTTTTGACGATGGCAATTGAGCTACTTATATATCTTTTAGCGTCACTGACAAATCGAAACGCACTTTCTAATTATAGAAGAACAATTAATTATGCCAATTATAGCGTTTTCTACTGTCACTGATTTTTCGAAACGCTATTAAATTTTTGTGAAACTGGGGTTTGTTTGACTGCGGAGGAAGATTTTGTCATGTGACTCATCTGATTCATCAGATCAGCTGTTTTGCATCATATCACTTTTATAAATCTCGCCGATTCCGAATTTACTTCTTTTATGGAATCGGCGAGACTTACGCATACTCGAAGAGACTTTACTAGCTGACGACTACGAAAATAGTATAGATTGGAATGATGAGGATTTCTCTCGTACTGAAACTTCTCCAATAACAGGAGAGACGATCAAATGAAAAAAAGTCTACGGTCCTCACTCCATGTTAATGTGTTATTGTAGATCTAATTGAAGGCGACATAAAACGTTGCAACAGTAGAGATAAGTTGCGGCCATTGTATAATATGCTAGGAATTTGGGAAATAGATACTAATAATCCCACGATCGAAAATACGACAAATTGTAATCAACTTGGAGTATGCCACCATCACGTTTTTTATGATCAAAACTCCATTCATCCAAAGCTAAAGAGTGAAGTTCCAATTGACGAAAAGACGAGTTTCTTTAGCCGTGAGATTAATACTGGATGTAGGAGACATTCATGGCGCATGCATGGATACAATTTTCAAACACCCTGCTACAT